GTATATATATATATACGTTTGTATAGTTTGATCTTTTTGCTGAAAAATGTAAGATTGTGTTCCCAACTTTACTATCAAGCGGTTAAATGATTAAATCACAGATTTCGTTCGTTATCACCAAAGATATAATTGAAAATATAATCTTTGACGTATAGATGTAATACATTCTTTGATTTGCTGCACCCTCTGCTGTGAAGTGCAGTTTCAAGCAGTTACTCATTTCTGGCTCAGGTGTAACTTACCAAACAGTAGCTGTCCTTTGAAACCAAATAACAAAAACAATAAAGACAAAAAACAACAACAAATAAAAAAATAACATCTGGTGCAGCCTTCTCTCTTTAGGTTACAGTGGCATATTCACTCACCTGATATAACAAATCATCTGTATTTCTAGTGCGGTCTTCTCTCTTTAGGTTACAGTGGCATATTCACTCACCTGATACAACAAATCATCTTCATTTCTGGTGTGGTCTTCTCTCTTTAGGTTACAGTAGCATATTCACTCACCTGATACAACAAATCATCTTCATTTCTGGTGTGGTCTTCTCTCTTTAGGTTACAGTATCATATTCACTCACCTGATACAACAAATCATCTTTATTTCTGGTGCAGCCTTCTCTCTTTAGGTTACAGTAGCATATTCACTCACCTGATACAACAAATCATCTTTATTTCTGGTGCAGTCTTCTCTCTCTTGTCAAAGCTCACTCACGTAAAGTAACTTGGCAGTTAACAGCACCAGTATTTTTTACCATGGTGGTAACAACCATTATCATGAATCTGTGGCCCAAGAAAGGTGCGCTTGTTGGGGTAGAAACATCGTATACAGTTCACGAAAAACGGGATGTTCGACACAATGGTAATTAACACTCATTTATCTTCTCTTCTCTAAAAAGTATACTTGGAGAATAATATTTATACATTTGGTGTATTAACATGAAATATAATTTCATAATCAATATTGGAATAATGTTGCTTTGAAATGTGATTTTTAATATTTATCAAACTTATCATACAACTGAATAACAATTAAATTTTACACATTTCCTGACAATGTTCACATTTTGGGAACATAGTAAAAATACGAAGTGATAACTTTTCCTAGATATAACAATAGTATAATTTCATATTACTGAAAACGCATGGTTCTTTGAGTTTTGGAATAGTTTAAAAACTTAAACTACATACGTTACTTTTTACAGGCAAAATATTCTGATGTATAATTAAAGCGTGCAAATAGAACAACAACAACAACAATAAAAATGCATTAAATTAAGTAAACAAAAACAAAACATCAACTAATATTTCAATAATCGAGCCCAGTGAGCTGAATTCGTTGTACTTACACGTGGTGATTGGTTACCGCATGTATACAGAAAATGAGTTTAGATGGCCAGGTGGATAAGGCGCTCGACTCGCAATCTGAGGGTCGCGGGTTCGAATCCG